ACATCCACTTGACACAACACAGGATTATGGAGTTGGGTTGGGAAGTTCTTCCTCACCCACCATATTCTCCAGATATGGCACCATCAGATTACCATCATTTTCGTTCGATGCAACACCATTTTAATGGGAAAACGTATGCAAATGTGGAAGGTGTTAAAGAGGACATCGACATGTTTTTTGCTTTAAAGCCAAGTGATTTCTTTAATCAGGGCATTGACAACCTGATTGTAAGATGGAAAAGCATCATTGATAAGAATCTAAGACTATTTCATTTAATAAATGTTTTGTTTTAATATATAAGTTGTTTGGGTTTTTTCATCCAAAAAAAGTGACATTAATTTCTTGATGACGTAATATATTGAACTTTCTGCAGTATCTGGCTAACATTATAGAAGTTGCAATGATGAGGTGCATGTGCACTCATGATAATGTATCCAAGAATATAAAACAGACCTTTACAAGGGGACCTGTCTTGACTGTGTTTTAGTGGACTAGTATTTTGTAAAATACTGTCACACTTCAGTTTTAATACATTATATATGCATATGCATTATTACTATTTACAAATAAGTCCTTAAACTTATTTTTCTTAAAACAGAGAACAGAAAATAAAAAAGTAAAGCAAACAATTATCTCTTCTTGTTATGACATTTGTACTCGATTGCTGCTTGTCATTGGTTGGGAAGCCTTATAAAATTTTGCATCTGATGGATGTGAAATGAAGTAATTTTTTTTAGGTTTATATATACATTTTAAATAACCAAAAAAATCATAAATTACAATATGAACATCATAGAATTCCATTATAATTTATTAAGCTTAGTAACTAAGTTGTATTTGGGTCTAAAAAAATATGAAATTTCGAGCAGACTAAAGACTCAACTTACCAGCTTGAAGATTTTTATTGAAAGAACAATATGATGTCATAATACTTGAAAATGGCTGAGAAAGCCACTAGGGGGACATTCTGAGCTTTCAGTTGGTTATTCACGTGTCATAGACAGAAGTAAGTGTAGATACGGGAGCATTTCCAAAAAAAGGAAAGAAATGAGCAGTGCCACTCTTTTTGATTCAGTACATGAGTGATATTTCAGCAAATAGAAAAGATAAGAGGTTCCTATATGATATTCTAGCTTGTCAATATTGGTAATTTGAGTTCCTAATTCATAAGAAACTATAGACTTTTAGATGTTTGTGATGTTCTGCATTCAACAAACCATGTGACACACAAAAATCAATATATATGGGGGATTTCTTTTTTTAATATTTACTTTTAAATTAAGAAATTAACTGATGGATCACACTAAAATATGAATTATAATCTACAATTTGATACCAAACGTATTGACATGCATTCCTAAAATAGTAATTCAATAAAATTTTGAATGCGAGTCAACAGACACGATATGACATGGCCTTTGACCCATAGCTATAGGGTTAAAAAAGTAGTAATGTAACTTTGTATAATACAACATGTCATGAAAGACTTCTTATAGTAAGGAAATCAGGTTCATTGTCATATTTTATTCCTAATAAAACTACATATTTACTTTTAAGGTCACACATAGTTAATGCAAGAATATCTAGAGGTATTCTGTGTTAGAAAAATATAGCATTTGCTAAAGATTGCTTGATGTTGCTTATATGTGTTACATTGCTCTTATTATCTTATTTAATTTTATCTTTCAAACTTTGTTTTTGTAACTTTAGAAGATTATATTGGCTGAAATTAACTATATTGAAGAAACAATCTAACTAGAATGATCATAACAGGTATTTCTATGTTAGTTTATCTGTTCAGAAACATCCAGTAAACTAATTATCATTGTTACATGTGTGACTTTAGGAACTTTTTACTGTAACATTGAGATTCTGCCTGTCTTCTCAGGATTTACAACCAGTAACAGTATGTCCCCTTCTTTTCGTATATAAAAACATTTTCTTTTTGTGTTTTTATGCAATTTTGCAAATTTGTATTTTCAAGATTTACCGATCTGAATAACCACATCATTTATTATGTGATTATTTATTACACAAATCTGTACAAACTCATGCACATAAGACATAAATAACATTAATATATATTCCTGTAGAGCGTACATTTTTTTTTCTTTTTCAACTCAGTGTTTTCAGTTCCAAAATTCTAAAGGTTTGGAAAAGTAAAGTATACTTCTTTGTGAAACCAACAACTAACAAAAAAAAAAAAAAATTCCTCAAAAAACAACTAGTTATTTTTTTTGAGAGATCATAGAAAAGTTTTATAGCATGCACATACACACTAAATGCTGGATAATTATTGAATAACGATAACATTTTTCAGACATAATTTATGAAAGCTATTCTAAAACTACATTTTGTAAAACATACCTTTAAATTAGTTTGCTTTAGAGGTTATTTAATTATTTAAGACTGTTGATAAGAATGAGAAGATGTATAATAGCATATGTTAATACTTGTAATTTTTAGTGTAGTTGCTGAGACATATGAAAACTTGAGTATTGTGTTTTTGTCATTTTTTGCAGTGTGGATACTCAGCGGTGTGGTATAATATTTATTTACAATATGATAGGCTCCAAGTATGTGAATTTTGATTATGAACTCTGTCAAAAGATCCTGAGCCTCCTCAAGGTAATGAAAATTATTGATAAATTTTAATACAGATATTTGATAGTATATTTGTGTTTATTTCCAAATATATCATGGGACTGATATTTATATTCAAATGTAAATTTTTCTTTATTCATGCTGGATTGTGGTCTGATGAAAACATGTAAATGAGAGTTTGCATGAATGATCTGTTTCACTTGACATAATTCTTTTACATTTCTAGGGCCTAGCATGGCCTGGTGGTTAGGGTGCTCAACTCGCAATCTGTGGGTTGTGGGTTTGAATCCCCATCACCAAAGATGCTCGCCTTTTCAGCTGTGTGATGGTCAACCCCACTATTCATTGATAAAAGTGTAGCCCAAGAGTTGGCAATGGGTGGTTTTGACTAGCTACTTTCCCTCTAGTCTATTACTGCTAAATTATTTTGTGAAAAATTCAAACCAGACCTTTTACATTTCTATTAAGTTGAACTTAGAAGTGTGTATTAGAGAGGAATGATGTTAAAATAGTTTGTGACCTTCACCATGTCATTACAGTTGATTGTCACAATGTACAATCATGCATCTTCACAATAGCCCTACAGTGTATTTTCTGTTGTAAAAAGCTCCATCATAAAGCTATCATGTCAAAAGCACATAAGTTCTCCCCCATTGCTTTCCATACTCCATTTAGTGTACAAGGATGATGGTTTTCCAACATTTTTTTCACCAATTTGATTGCACAGAAGAAAAAGAAGAAATTCATAGGCACTGCATTAAATGACTTACCAATATGTCTTTGCATAGAGTAGCACATTTTCCTGTTTTATTCTCCAGCTGCTTCAAGTATGTGATGGATGAATAGGAGGTATAACTGGAAACCTTATCTTGGAGAACCCATACCCTATTGGTCTCATTTCCAAACAGAGATCCTTCTTGATTATGTTACATACTATTACCTGAGGCACATTGATGGCTTTCGCCACCTTCTCTTGTGTTCTTGGATTGCCACCTGTTTAAAGATGTTGCACTTCCAATGGTTGGGGTATGATTTGTTGCAAGTCTTTTTCTTGATTCTCTGATGACCCAAGTTGATTCATATTCTCATGTTTTCCAATGTCATTAAGTTTAAGGGATATACCTGTCTTTGAAATTTCAAAATCTCCAATCCAAACACATCCTTATGATTTAAACGTATGAGCATTCTGTATTGGAAAAGGCTATTACATGCCCTACCCAAAAGTGATAATATTTGTGTGCCATCCCATAACCTACAAAATACCAAACATTGTCAAAATGTACTTCTCATACTGATACTTGTAGTTCCACTGCATTATATTGGCTATGGTTGTCACTTGACTTGCTGATTTGCATATTCAAAATTGTTTTAATTCAACATACTCAATCTTCTATAAATTTTTATCCAAACCTATATTTATTATTGAAAACTATGCTGTTTCTTTAATGATTCAACAAAAAAATTATATTGTAGTACTAGACAAACACAAAAATAAATTAACTTATTCAGATGCATTTAAATATGAGGTCTGATTCAGATTTTTTAAAGTGTACTGGTTGATTTATTTCATGGTGCATCCAGTGTAGAATAGTTATGAGTCATAGTGATCTTTACTTTGTGTAAGTAACGTATTAGTATGAATAATAATAAATTATTTTTCACACCTGTGATTTATTTTAAAATAGGGAGCTTATCCAGCTCGCCTAAAAAAGGTTCTAATTGTAGCTGCTCCACTGTGGTTCAAGGCTCCATTCAAGATCTTGAGGCTGTTTGTCAGAGAAAAACTACGAGAACGGGCAAGTTGTCAAAGACACTTATAGATTTATTTGTAGCGCATACACTATATTTTGTTTGTATTGTATTATTTGTTTCATACTCTGAATTCATTACGCATTACAAGTTTCTATTTTAAAAAAATAATTAACAGTACTAGACATAGGTATTATTTATTTATTTCAATTAGCAACCAATTGATGATCTAAAAATTATTTTAAACTGGGAGCATTTTGGCATACTTTTCTTTTTCTATTCATGCATATGATGCTGATAAATGCAAGGATATTAGATGTAACCTTGCCTTAGAAATCTGTGTGACAGAAGTACATTAGGTGAACTACGAACGACAGCATTCAAAGTAGTAGTAGATTATTTTTACTTCACTGATGGGAGGGTTAGATCTATAGCATTGCACATTGAAACCAGTACTGCACTGGAATGATTAGGTCTATAGCAGGACACTTTCAAACCATTATTACAATGAAATGACTAGGTCTACAGCATAGCACTGAAACCAATACTGCAGTAAATGTATAACATGGTGATTTGAACTGGTACTGCAGCCAAACCTGACAATATTTATAAATTAGACTTTAGAGTACAAATATAGGAATAAGTATTTTCTAAATCATTAAGGTGTTCAACGTTGTAGCTATGATAGTTACTTCAAACTAATTGTACCTAATTGAGCATATCTGTAATATGTGTGTGACTGGCATAACTCCAAGAGGAAAGAACTTAAAAACCTGAAATTTTGCATACATACTAAGTGGACCCTAAGGGTGTGCACCTGGGTATTATTACTTATCTATGTGCGTGTGTGCTCACATGCGCGTGCACATTTTTTAATGCAAAAACCACATAGAAATGTGACTGCCAAAGCTCCAAGAGGAAAGAACCTAGAAACCTGAAATTTTGCACCCATACTAAGTGGACCCTGATGTGAATGCACATCTTTTTAATGAGGCAAGCTAGCAAAAAACTACATAGAAAAGAAGTGGTTCCTTATATAACAACTTCTAATATATAGAAAAGCCAATGCATTTTAGTAACAATGTGTTTCAACATCATGTTGCTTAGCAATAAAAGTATAACCTAATATTGTTGTTAAGAGCCTTTATGCTGAAAGTATAAAATGAAATGTATAAACTAAAAATTGAAAACAAATTTAGAGTTTCCATTAATTAAAGAGGTTTATTTTTTATTATTTAAGTTTAAAATCGGAGAAGAAGTCAGAGGGAAGATTACCTTTATAAACAGGCCACATCCCCTAAAGGAGTTATACTTTTATACTAAAATGGGTTCAGAATACACACACTGGCATAGTCATCTAGAATAATCCAACCTAATAACCCGAGCAAAGCTGGATACTTTCGCTAGTAGATAAATAAAGTTTCATCCATTACAGTAAGATACTAAAAGCAGTACAGAGGATTTAATCTATGTGGGAACAATATGATAAAAGATTTGATTTATTTTTCTTTTTACACATCGCAGGTTTTCATGGTCAACGTACCACAGTTATCTTTACATGTACCAATAGCATCATTACCTCGGGAGCTTGGTGGTATCATTCCTCTGGACCATAATGCTTGGATACTTCATTGCTTGAAGTCGAATACCAACTGTAATGGAGACCTTTGTGACATTTCATCACTTCCCACATCTCCCTCTTCAGGTATGATTCTTTACCAAGCCTATGAAGTGCTAATGCAGAATGGGAATAGTCCACTAAGTGATGGTGAAACAGATGAACCAGAAGATTTTACATCTTTTGTTCATGAGAAGCATAACTCTGAAAAAAGAGAAAAAGAAGTAGAAGTTCTTAAGGTTAGTAAATACTGAACTACTAAATTTTATAGTAACATTTGTGTCATAATGTGAAATATGTTCTAGTTCAAAATGTATTTAATGATGAACATTTATAATTACCAGTATGAGATAAACAAAGCATTCTCGCTGTTGTCATGTTTTTTTGTTTTTTTTTACTTGCTGTTTACCACCGTATAATCCTGGCTGTGGCTCGCTAAATGTCAGAAACTTACTTTTATTTTAACTTTTCTCTAACCAAACTTCTCTTTCAAGTGATTTTACTTTTACTCTCTGTTTTTGCTTCTCTGGTCACTGATATTTATACGTTTGTCATTTAGGCCTTCTAGAAATCTCCATAGCGTCGACATCAATGGATTACAAACACAATGTTCGATTGCCTCTACATCAATGAATAACAAGCACAAAATACACTAATTAATAATACTACATACACTAAACACTCTTTTATATCTGACAGATGTCATATAATAAAAATATAAAAAAATGTCCTTGATGTGCTTTTAACAACAGAGCTTCTATGAACACTGCAATAGGTACTTACTGTTTTTTTAACATTCTGAGCTTATAAAATCACTTTATTTTGTTCATTAAATTAAGGACCAGGTGTAGCCTAGTGGTTAGTATGCCTGATTGTTGACCCAAGGGTCTAGGGTTCACATCCTTTTCCCATAAAAAGAAAATTTACTCTATACTTTGGAGTCATGGGTGCATTATAAAAGTGATGGTCAAACCTTTCTATTTGGTTAGAGTAGCTACAGAATTGGTTGTGGATGCTTTTGACTAACTGCCTTTCCTCTGGTTTATAAGTTCCACTTAAAAATGGCTAGCACAGTTAGTCCTTGTGAAGCTTTGTGTGAATATTAACATAACATAACAAGGGACCTATTGGTCCATCTAGGCTGTCCAGTTCTCTAAACTAAACTACAACTGTTAAATAAAATGAAATAAAAAAACCTCAAAGACAACCCTTATCATTCATATAGTTATCAAACTTTCTCTTAAACTCACTTAAATTTACTGCCTCCACAACATCCGAAGGCAACCCTTTCCCAAGGACAACCACCCTGTGAGAAACATAAAACTGTTCTAGCTGAAGATAACTCCTACACTGCCAAAATTTATATTTGTGTCCCCTAGTCCTACCATTCTCCCTATTAAGTATGAAAAAAAAAGATGGTGCATCAATACTATCAATTCCTTTAATAATTTTAAACACATCAATCAGATCCCCTCTAACTTCTTTTTTCAAAAGAAAACAGTTTCAGAGATTTTAACCTCTTCTAGTATGACAATCCCTCCATCTCAGACACCATTCTAGTAGCCCTCCTCTGAACCTTTTCCAACAATTCAATGTCCTTCATAAGGTAAGGAGCCCAAGAGTGAACACAATACTCCAAATGTGGCCCAACCAGTGATCTAAACGATGAAATTATAACCTCTTTAGTCTTGTATTCAATATTTCTGTAGATACAACCTAAAATTTTATTTGTCCTACCTCTAGCAACAGCACACTGCTTGAATGGGTTAAGAGACTGATCAACCGCTACACCAAATCCCTTTCTTTCCTAACACTGTTAAAGTTATTCCCATCGAAGTGCTGGGCGGTCAGTCTGTCATTCACGCTTAATTTCTCCAAATTTTCTGAGTTACAAGAGTCTAGTTCCACTTTTTCTCCTATAATACTTCCCCTTTTTGAAATGGTGTATTTAAGTGTTTTACACTCACAAAAAAGAAACCTATCATTCTATAGGTATTTG